CGTTTATCCCCCCCCCCCCCCCCCTTATCGGCGACAATCACCTCCTTGCCTAGACCACGTGTCCCTTTCGTCCGAGTTCCCGCCCGCACTCAGCCACAGTTTCAATCACGCGCCCGCGCGCGAGCGACGTACATTTCGCGCGGTCGCGAGCGAAATGAAAAAGCTTCGGTGTATCGAAGTAAAAGCTCGACGCCAGTCGGCAGCTGGACGCGAGTTTACGCATGGTACAGATGCCGCGCGGTGTAACCTGCATCGCGAGAAAAGGAGGGAAAAATGGAAAAAATAAGGAAGATTTAGAGAGAGAGAGAGAGAGAAAGAGACGCAGGCTCTTCGACGCTCAGGACGTTCGCGAAATTGACGTTACTTCAGTTTATTAGAAATTCTTTTCGAAAAAAAAAATATTCACGCGAACCCGTTACTGATTCTCTCTCTCTCTCTCTCTCTCTCTCCTGCGCTTCGCGAATCAGCCGAGTTTCCTCTCGGCGAGTTCATTCATACGTAAGGAAATATATCCGCTCGACTGCGCTGGCGATATTCGACCGGGAGGTCTCTATGGATACACCGGCGCGAGAATCAATTTTAAAGCGCTCTCCGTTGCACAATCGTCGACAACGCGTGCCGGAGGATCTCCCAATTTTTCCACGGGATTCAATTTTCGCGAGGTTCGACGATCCCGCGCAGTGCGAGAGACGCTGGCGCGCTAACCCGCCCGGCTGCGTTCAATCATAGACACCGAGGCGATTATTCCCCGTTTGACATATTCATTTGCAAAAATGAAAATAGGAGAAGCGAAACAGAAAAAAGCGGAAGCGGGAAGCGAAATATCGACGTGACGAAGCGATAATGATGACGCGCGCTCGAAATATTCGCGCATGGTGCTAAAGCGCTTTCGCGCTCCGTCCGGTCGTTCCCCGGTCGATGTTATTTATGTGACGTGCATATTCCCGCGGACTGCGAACGATCGCCGGCGACTTTCGCGCTTCGCATATATAGCACACGGCCCGGGATGTCGCACAAGTTGCAACAAGATATTTTCTCGCGAGATAATAACGCATCGAGTTGGTATAGAATAACAACGTAAACGATCGAAATGCGAGCCGAAAATAGCCGGCAGATGAAAATAGCAGCGGGGCACCGCAACGGCGGGATTCGCTTTGTCAAATCGTCCGGCGATATCGATTGCATCGTGGATTTTCGTGCTTCCACTGTGAAGTTGCTGCTGCTACCGCTTCTTCTTTTTCTACTTCTTCTTCTCCTCCCTCGCCATTTCTTTTTCACTTCGCTCACGTCGAGATATCTCGGGCGTAAAATGAAGATAAGGGAGTGGTGAATGACGGTATCAACGGGACTGCAGCGTCAATAAAATTTTTTTCGAGCACGTTTTACGGTGAAAAGACCGGCGAACAAAGACGAGACAGAGAGAGAGAGAGAGAGAGAGAGGGAACTAGTGACGAAGACGAATGTTCAGGCGGCATGACGAGCGCGGGCGAGAGTAAATGTTGCCAGTAATAAACTAATAAGTCTAATTGAGGGCGGCACGAAGGAGAAAGGATTTATCGTTCCGTGCCATGCGCGCCGCGCTAATCCGTTTCCGGCGAATTATGCAACACCAAGTTGCAGCCGGCCGAAGGGATTCCATCGCTCTCGTTTCCGCCCGTCGCGCGGATTAATGGCCGCGAAATATAAAGGGAGCGGTTCTCTCCCGAGCGCGCCCGCGGAAAAATCACGTGACGCGCGCGTGCACGTGACATTAACAAAACGCCGGCGTGGCGCGCATCATTAATGTCGACGTTCGAATCGGCTTCACCCTCGAATCGCACTCTTTAATTAGAGGAGAGACGCGAGAAGAGTCGGTTCAATTAGTGCAAAAGCTCTTTTCTCGTGGTGATAAGTGGGAGAGAGAGAGAGAGAGAGAGAGAGAAGAACGTAGCGGTGACCGACGAAGTTCGTTCACCGCGAGGAATAAAATATCAGGACATGGAAAATGTGTCGTGCGCTGCGAGAGATGCTCGATAAATAAGAAATAATTTATCGTCTCCATCGCAACCGAGTAGATGGAATAAGAAACAGCTGTTCGAGCGAGCATTCGCGTGCGCTGCAGCCGTCGCGCCTTACCACCCCCGTGTAAGGATCGTATGCATTCGGCCGGGAGCTGCGGACTGGAGAGACGATGTACACCAATTCAGTACTGAAACGCGCACTTAACGTTACGATACTAATGCCTTAAATAGGAAAGCGGGAGATGTTACTGCACTACTAACGGGGAGTCTAAATAGGCACATTGGTGAGAGCGACCGCCTGGTCGGGAGACCCGAGCGGAAGAGCCGAGTATGCCTCACCCCCGACGTTTCTCACCTTATATGAAATTAAGGCGCGGTTTTTCATTCTCCGGCTAACTTGTGATTTATGCTTAACCTAGCGATGACGTAATGATAACGTAGAAATTATGTTTCCCCACTCACGGTTAATGAAATTTTGTCATTCAATTTCCCAAGTCACCGCTACAAAATCGTCAGTTTAATGGCTAACCGTGAGTAGAAAGACGCCGTGTTTTTCCTTTTTCTGCATTATCATCAGTTTAAGTGTTGAAAACCACAAGTCAGCCGGGAAGTGAGAAATCGGGCCCAGAAGTGGACAAACAAACAAGCACGGGCTACAATCGCACGATGTTATATACTTCTTACCAGTCGAAGAAGTTCCACAGACACGCGAACATGTTGACGGCGCGCCCTCCGCATTGAAGAACCCGAGACACGAGCGCGCGCGCGTTCCCTCTTCGCGCCGTTCCGGATTTCCCTGCCGAGTCGATCGTAATCGTGGATCGGCGGGATCCTCACATTTCGCCAGGCGCGACCGAGAGTCGAGCGCAGTTCATCCTCGCACTCAGAGATCCCTCCGTGGCTCGACGATTTCGTTCTCTCATCGACGCTGGCAAGCGGCGCGTTTCGCCCGTGTCGTGTCTCGAAGCGAGCACGACGACCTCCTGCGGTATCGCTTCCGGTCCGGCTTTCCTCGACGGCGATTTACGGTATTCGTCAGGTTCGCGAGAAGCTACACAACGAGGCGACGCGAAGTCACGATAAGGTGGAGAGCGGACGTGAGCTAATCGTGAGCGTACTCGAGCGAAGCTCGCGCACGACGGCCCGTTGTCGGGGGAGCCTCAAATTCGTCCTCACCGTGAAACCGTGGCAATTAGTCGGCCAATTCTACAGCGGGATTGCGAATTACCTGTCGCGGCTCGGAAATGTCGTTCCCCGTCGAGCGCCGGCGGGACGCGCGATCCCGTATTAATATAAACAAACCCGGCGAGAGGAGAAAATGCACATCTATCCCGGCCGGGATATTCCCGTAAAAACGGTCGACGGGGCAATATTCGCGGTGCTTTCCTCTTAGGCGAACGTCGTCGCCGGGGATATAACGCCGGCGATATTTCGATCGAACGTGTCCGCCTGATAAAAATGGATTTATACGTCGCCGTCGTAAAGGGTGCTCGCGCGTCGGGACGAGAAATTGGGAAACAAATTAAAAGCGAGGGAAAAGCTGCTGTTGATGTTGCTGCTGCTCCATCGATTCCGGTGATAACCACTTCGGGGAACTCGCGTAAACTCGTTACAAAGTCTATCACCGTTTATCGAAGGTTTGTGTGCATTTATGAAAAGGAAGAAGCAGTAGCCGCGAAGCGACGCCGCCGCGTCTCGTTTTCGTCGCTCCGCGGAATTTAAATCTATGATATATGTTCCTCCCAGCTTGCACACGGATATAGCAAGGATACAGCAAGTGTGTATTTGTGTGTGTGTGTGTGTGTGGCGTTTAAATTTTCCCGGAAATGAATACTCCGGCGGATGCGCGCTTCCGACGAGGAAGGCTCCCGAAGCGATAAATCGATCATAAACTCATTTAAACGGCCCCGTGCGATGTGTACCGAGACATATTAAAAGCCGTCTGACAAGCTCCTCGCGACTGCACTCCGCGAGCGACGTTAGCGTCGAAGTTCATCTAGTTTCCATTGCTACAACGATGGGACGAGGTAACAAAAATATTAAGGAGAGAGCACGTCGCGCGATCGAACGGAATTTTTGCGCTGAACATATCGTTCGTTCGCCTTTTGTTTTGTTTTGAACGGAAAACCCCCCCCCCCCCCCCTCTCTCTTTCTTTGTCGGTTTAGTACCTCTTTTCGATTCTCGATACAACACGAAATATTTTCCCTCGTATCTCCGAAGGTACGAGAGTGACGCAAAAGAGAAAGAAAGCACACATACAGAGAGAGAGAGAGAGAGAGAGAGATAGAGGAACATCGGTTCTCTGCGGCTCTTTTGAAGTTGTACAAAATACGAATGCGACGATACTTTAAATTGTGTCGCGAAAAAATACACAGAGTAAGAGGGAAAACAGAGCGAGAGGAAGGGAGAAAAAGAGATGGCAAGAGACACGGGGAAAATTGTACGAAAGATTAAGCGCTCAAAAATTTTGCACGCTCCGCTCGATGATGTGAATAACGGCGATAATGCAACGAAGGTTGTTACGAGCAAAAGAAAAAAAAGAGAAGAAGAGCGCGAGACCTTTCCATCGCATTATCTCCTCTGCAAGCGACGTAATGTATTCGACAGCATGTAGGGCGCGCATCGAAAACGGAGTTGTCGGAGTTGCTAGTCGAATACATGAATAATCGGGTTGCAACTTGCAGCGCTACCATGCTCTTAGTAACCACGGCGCTTCTATCAAAAGGTTGTTCATTGTCCCGCCGCCGCGTCACAAGAAGCGGGAGGAGAGAGAAAGAGAGAGAGAGAGAGAGGCATCGTCTCTCTCTCGCCCTTTCTCTCTTTTTCCTCTCGCACTGCAAAATATAAATCTTCCCCGTAAATAAATCGTCCAATTACTTGCGCTCGCGGGAGCGCAGGCCGCGTCGTTTAAACCGCGCTGATTTTTTAATAGGTTTCCCGCGGCAAGCTCTGTTTAACCTTTCGGATAATCTTTAAAAAGGCGGCCCGCATATCGCGCGAGCCGAGCTTAATACCAAAGGCCGGTGCGTTTTCCACGGACGTTATTAACTCACATAATAAAAAAATTTATATAAATAGCGGCGAGAATAATAATTCCGATTTGCCACCACTACGAGAAATTGGTTTTAGTCGTGTAGCGGCTCCACCGAGAGAGGAGCCCGAGGGATGCTAAGTGATTAAACGCGTAACTCCCTTTCTCTCTCTCTCTCCTTCCGGATAAAAAAGAGCAACTCCGAAGGTAAAGCGTTTCCGCATCGGTTTCCACCCTATTTTCAGTCGAGCGCCGTCCCCCGCTTTTCGTCTCACGCGTCTTTCCTTCCGCGACGAACACGTTTCGCGAATACGCGACAACGTTCGGCGACCAGCGTGTGTCGACCGTTCCTCGATTGAAGCGTCAATCGAGGAACACGCGGCGCGTGAATCCGACAGCTTGGCGCGAATTGCCGAATCCGCATGGGTGTGGGTGATGTGTACGTGTGTGAAGCGAGAAAAAAGGAGCGCAGGAGGAAACTTCCGGTAAAATCGCCCGGCGACGACGTCGTCGTCGAATCGATTCGACGCGAATGCGGAAACAATGGGACGTACGTCCCGCGAGATGCATTTTACGATAAAACGCATTAGTCGAGCGTAACGCGGCGCCGACTTTAACTCGCTCTCTCTCTCTCTCTCTCTCGCCCTCTTCTCCCCATTATTGTCCTCACCCTCGCTTTCAACGCCGATTTCGCGCCCACGTTGTTCTTCACCCTCGCCTCTGCCTCGAGTTAACACTACTCGGGAGACGAAAATACTGCGATTAGCATTCGTTTCCGCGACGACGACGACGAGCGGTCGTCGCCGGATAAATAAACGCGCGGCGAGGGCTGTCGACGACGCTGGAGGGAGGGCGCGGGGGAGAACAGTGAGAGAGAGAGAGAGGACAGAAGTTAGTCCTCCGTATTTTTCATGAACCTCCTGCCGCGCGTGGCGACGTCGAATTAACGCCCGTCCCTCGGAGTTGGGTTCGTTTTAGCCGAGCTGGATCGCACTTTCCGCCCTTAGAGTGCAACCCAGCGTTGAAAGGAAAAAAGGACGAAGTTCCAGTGTAACACTGGTTCGTTAAAACAAGCAGACCCGTTGAGTATCGCGACCGTTTGACTTCGACGGCGGCGGCAACGACCGCTCGTGAATTCCCACTAGTCCGTTCGCACCGCCCTTGGCCTTCCGCGACCAACCCTTATCGAAGGACCGCGCGTGAGCGAGCGAATGGGCGAGAGTGCGTTGCCCCGTCGCGTGAACTTCGCATCGACGACGCGAAAATCGAAGCCGGGGCTCTCTCTCTCTCTCTCTCTCTCACAAGGCGCAAAGGCTCGTGAGAATTTCGCACGACGGCGGCGACGACGCGCGAATTCCTCGAGAAAGATCCTCACCGAGTGACAAAGCAGATCATTTGTCGCAGGAAGATACGTGAAGGATATCGCCGCGCGTATACACGCGTAACGATTAATCGTGCAACGGCTCGTTTCTCGTTTCCCGAGGAGAATCCGGCGATGCTCTATATTAAGACGTAGAATTTACGAACCTCGGTATTTATGCCGTTTTCCCGCTCGGGCAGAATAAATTGCCGGGGGCGCGCGTGACAAAGATTGATTTAGCGAGAGATCGGATTCGCCGATAAGCGGAAATCTTAACAAGTAGACGCTCGCGTGCGTAGAACGCCGCTAAAGCGCACCTTATCACCTATGTGTTCAGCGCTAAGCGAGGCCATCCGATTCCACGCGCTCGCACCGGCCGCGCTTAACACGAAGACAGCATGCGATTTGGACATTTGCACGAGAGAGAGAGAGAGAGAGTCGAGCACGGGCGCCGCACTCAGCGCTCGAATACATCGCGAGCTCGAAATATTCCAAACGTTCCACCGGGGAGAGCGATCGGCGGAAAGAACTCCGAAGGGAGCATACCGGAAGACGATTCCTCCCTGGGCAGCCGGTGCACGATCACGTGCCGGCTGCCGCGGGGCGACGTCCGCGCGACGCGACGTCACGGCCGACGCTCGCCCGAAGCCACACTTCCGCGAGGAGAGCTCGAATGAGCGACGGAGGGAGAGAGAGAGAGGGAGAGAGAAAGAATCCGCACGATATCGGAGGCAGTCGATCGCCTTGACCGAGGTCACGAGAGGACGCGCCGGAAGCGACACGGGGAAGACGGGCGCGCGATTGGCATCGCTTCTGTCGCGCGACGAAGGGCTGGTTCTCCAGCGGAAATGCGAGATCGCAGGATCCGCTCGCGCGCGATCGCCCGGCTGTCCCGGCGAGAGAGAGAATTCCGGGGGTTGCCCGACTCGTAGCGCGGCGAGGGCACAACTGGCATGCGCCTTCGCCACCCTCCTCTCTCGCGTCCAACGTCCGCTTCCGCCGCGCAGCCCCTTCTCACCGCGCCGCCCCGCGCCTTCGAGCTGCTGCCGCCACCCCCGGTGGCGCGAGTATTCCCTAGTATACCAGAGTCGGGGACGAGGGGAGCGCCACGGCTTTCGCTCTCTCCCGATCTCACCCCCGCCGAGCACCGAGCGGGTGCGCGTGTGCATCATCCCCTCTCCCTGCTCCGGGAACCGCCGGCGGCGCATTGTCCTCGCGAGAGTTTCGCAGCGACCGCTGCGTTACGCATCTGCCTCTCTCGCGACAGCGGCTCTGAAAACCCGGCCTGCCGGATTCTCCGGGCTGAACTGTGCGGGGGAAAAACGGTTCGGTTGAATTTTCCTGAAACGAACCGAGCGCGCGTTTCGCGTCGGAGGAAAGAGAATTTCTCGCTGCGAGAAGCGAATTTGATTCCGTGAGAATCGGAAATTCGGCTTCCCTCGGACGAAACGCGCGTTTCGTTGGTTCCTTCATTTCACGTAAACGCAGCCAAACTGTTTTCCTTCCCGTGTGCCGAATGCATGTCGGTAAAATTCTGCACACCGTGCAGAAATTTTCCTGGCATCTAATTGGGCCCGAATTTTCGATTTTTCGAACAACTGTCATTTCACTTTGATTCACCGTTAGCTTACTTATATTTTTGATTTATTATTTTACATTTATTTAATTTAAAATCAAAAATTTTCGGGTAAAAGTTGAATTCATTTATCATCATTTATTATTTCTTTCAAATACCGCTTTGTTTCGGTGCCCGAAAAATGAC